AGTTTGGAGTTTACACTGCTCACCATGTAATGATCTCTTGATAGATCTCATGATATTTATCTAACTATTAAAGGTATTGAGAGTGTGTTAGCTGTTTCATGAGAACAGACGTGAAGGCTCTACCAGTTTGGACCATAGACTGTATAAAGAAGTGAACTAAGGGAGTGCGATGTCACCCTAGTGTTCAGTTCCAGTCAAATGTAGCTCACCGAGGCTGAAGTTATAAAGGCAAATTTGTTGCATATAAGGAATAGGAATTTATTAACGGATCAAACAGCTAAATAAAAACCTGTATGTAGAGCAGATTAATGCAAACATTTTAAGACCGAAATGACAAGTTTCACTGCAGCAGTTACAGAGAGAGGGGTGACAATTTTTCAATGTAAAGTTGAGCCAAAGTTGACAGAGCTGGAAGTGACCCCATGCTCACTTCCTATTTGGAACGCAACAGCTGGCTGTATCCATTTATACAGTTGATGGTTTGGACACACCTATTTATTTAGTGTTTATTTTCTTAATGTTTACTACTTTCTGTTTACTGTTTACTATGATTACTCTAGATATAGAATTATGTAGTTAAGAAACAAAGTGAAATAATTTAAAAACATGTTTTAGATTCAAATGCTCAAAATAGACATCCTTTGCTTTGTTGACAGCGCTGCACACAACTGGTCTTCTCTCAGTGAGCTTTAAGATGAAGTCACCATGAATATGGTTTTCATTTCACAGGTGTGCCATGTCAGGGTCAAGAAATGCCAAAAACTGAATTGAGTTATTTTGAGTTATTGTTTGGATGCCTTCACTGAGAACCTATATTGCAAATAATCACGGAAATAAAGAAGAAAAATTAATGAAAAAACATGCCCAAGCTTTTGACTGGTAGTGTAATTCTGAAATATGTTAAAACTATTTAAGTTTCTCAATGCCAGATTTGCCGATTCTTGCTCATTCCTAAATCACGGCTATAGCCATAACTGCCCTGGGGCTGTCTGACAGATGAGGGGATGTAATTTTACGCCCATCCAACCACCACCGATCACATCACATTCACACAAGCATGGCAGGGCTGGCCCACCCTATTGTCTGTACCATGCTTTGTGTCAAGATGAATTCTCTTCAAATAAAGCAATTTTGGTCTTAAACAACCAACCAGCATAGTGATTTAATAACTTTTGGCACTTATAATTAAACCAAATTGGCAAACTTGTCTAGACTAACTCCCCTCCATCGCCAATCATGAACCAGATTCCTTAAGTTGGTGAATTGTAGGGCTGGGAATCGCATGGTCTCTCATGCAATATGATTCTCAATGGCTCACGAAGCGATGATGATACGATAGACAGTAATTTTTAACATAAGTTTCTCTTTATCAATTTGCCAATTGATTATTGATTGGTGTAAAACTATGATTTATATTTACAACAGGTATTATTCTACTGCTGGAGTTTAGGTAGTGAAGGATTCAGATCAGAGAGTCTTTTTAGATTTAAGACAACTGGATTCAGCTCTAAAACTGGCAACCCAAATGAGATGTGAGGCTGATTCTGCTTTCTGATTGGATAATCATCTTGACAACCAAAACATCAAGTTATAACTTAAATAAATGTGATATCATGGCCAACGTTTTTGGTTTTATTAATAAGAGTAAATCAGCATTACATTTATTATCAGTAAAAGCTACATTTGATTTGAACGGGTTTACCTTGTAGCTGGAGACACAGGCACAGGTCAAGTGTGTTAGTGTTATGAAATTTAAAATGTTACATACAGTTCCTTTAACAAAATTTAAGTGGGAGAAGGTAAGGTCATGGAGTCAAAGTTAATAGGCTGTGGGAAAAAAATTTAAGTAATATTTGTACAACTTCCACGGCCAGGACACTCTCCATCGGGTGCTCGAGGGTTCATGGGAATTTGCCCAACCAGTCCACATGTGCTTTGTGGATCTGGAGAAGGCATTTGACCGTGTCCCTCGTGGTGTCCTGTGGGGGGTGCTCTGGGAGTATGGGGTCCGGGGCCCTTTGCTAAGGGCTGTCCGGTCCCTGTATGACTGGAGCAGGAGCTGTGTTCGCATTGCCGGCAGTAAGTCAGACCTGTTCCCGGTGCATGTTGGACTCCGCCAGGGCTGCCCTTTGTCACCGGTTCTGGTCATTGTGTTTATGGACAGAATTTCTAGGCGCAGTCAGAGGCCGGAGGGGGTCCGGTTTGGGGACCACAGGATTTCATCTGTGCTGTTTGCCGATGATGTTGTCCTGTTGGCTTCTTCAAGCCAGAACCTACAGCATGCACTGGGGCAATTTGCAGCCGAGTGTGAAGCTGCTGGGATAAAGATCAGTTCCTCAAAATCTGAGGCCATGGTTCTCGACCAGAAAAAGGTGGCTTGCCATCTGCAGATGGGTGGAGAGTCCCTGCCTCAAGTGGAGGAGTTCAAGTATCTTGTTCACAAGTGAGGGGAGGATGGAGCATGAGATTGACAGGTGGATCAGTGCAGCGTCGGCAGTGATGCAGTCGCTGTATTGAACCGTTGTGATGAAGAGGGAGCTGAACCGAAAAGGAAAGCTCTCGATTTACCGGTCAATCTACGTTCCTACACTCACCTATGGTCGTGCGCTTTGGGTAATGACCGAAAGGACAAGATTGCGGATACAAGTGGTTGAAATGAGTTTCCACCGCAGGGTGGCTGGGCGCTCCCTTAGAGATAGGGTGAGGAGCTCAGTCCGAGGAGCTCGGAGTAGAGCCACTGCTCCTTCACGTCAAGAGGAGTCAGCTGAAGTGGTTCGGGCATATGTTCCGGATGCCTCCTGGACGCCTCCCTCAGGAGGTGTTCTGGGCATGTCCCACCGGGAGGAGGCCCCGGGGAAGAACCAGGACACAGTGGAGGGACTATGTCTCTCGGCTGGCCTGGGAACGCCTCGGGATCCCCCTGGAAGAGCTGGAGGAAGTGTGCGTGGAAAGGGAAGTCTGTGAGTCCCTGCTTAGACTGCTGCCTCCACGACCCGGCCCCAGAAGAAAATGGATGGATGGATGGATGGCAGTGGAGCTGGAGGGTTTGCTAACCTATTCACTGTTGCAAACAGGACACAACAGTTGTTACTGCAATTTCCAATAATGTCCGAAAAGTACCTCTCTCTTGTTCTACCCAACCTGTGGTTGTATATATGCATCTTTTCTCTATAAATCTAATAATGAATCTGGAGGTTTGACTTGCGCAGTTTCCGCTTGGCCCTCCGGCACTCCCTGTTCTGTGCCCTGACCAAGTCATCATTCCTCACTGAGCTTTTTGCCTCTTTAACCATTTTAACCTTTATCAGGGCAATGGTGTTCAGAACATTTAAAATACTCAAGGTCACAGAGTTCAACAAATCATCAACATTAGAACATGAGGTTATTTCAAAATGTATCATTTCCATGAACAGTGCATCTGTGTTATCATTTGTGTCACCTTCGAACAACTGTAGGACCAGCCAGTGGTTTAGGAATAACAGACATAGGTCTGTGCATACGACTGAAAGCATCTCAGTAAAATCATCAATAAAACTTTGACAGTGCTGAGGAGGTTTGTATATGACTATGTAGAGTGGAGAGTGATTGTTTTAGCTACATTTTGAAGGAAACATACTCAAATGATGAAAACACCCCAAATGACAACCTGTGTGTAACCAAATGATCTCTAAAAAATGCACACACACCTCCACCCTTTTTTGTTTGCTCGTGTTTCAGATTCAGATTTGAAATTGAGAAGGATTGAATAAACTAGCACTGCATTACCTGTGTTTTGTCAAGCCATGTTTCAATTAAACATATAAAGTCAAGATTAAAGTCAAGAAGAAATAAAATCATTAATTAAAAATGGTTTGTTACATAAAGGTCTGACATTGAGCACAGCAGGTTTCAGATTAATTTCAGTAGTACTGGATGTTATCTTCTTACAGGGAATGTGAACTAAATTTCTCTGAAAATTTCTCTGCCTAGACAAACTAACTGTCCTGTTAACCCTGTCTACTGTATGTGGTATAACTGGAGATCGCAGGGCCCCAGCCTGATATTACCTTATCATGACTGTATGTCCTTGGACAGCAGAGGTCCTGTGTGTCCTATCACTCAGTGAAGTGCTCTACATTTTTTCTTCATCTGACAATAGAATTGATTTGGTAATGCTTTGTGTGTTAAACTGGAGGAGTAGCTGCTGAAACCCTTCATCCCCTGGAGAAGAAGAAGGTTTTCCTTGTGTGCGAGGACCAAGACAAGAACAGTTTAACAAAAGAATAAGAGAACACGAGCTGATACAGCTACCGGGTTACATGTACATTGCTGGCAAGAAGCATAAATTAATTTGCCTTCCTTTTCTTTTTAGCTGACATATTAGATAGCCTTTTGCCATGAATATGCTGCCAGCAGTAACTCAACGTTGGGTCCCTAAAGATTCTCATGGGGACCCGAGGGGTTCCTTTTGATGTGGTTCCTGGATATTTTATCCACTGGTAAAACAGAATTAAGACATTTTGTAACATAAGATAGCCTACATAGAGGCAACCAGGCAAACTGATCAAATTCATGTAAGAAGCTTATCAACATATGAATACGTAATAGATCCATACACTTCATAAAGACACATTTGTGGGCCATGGCATCACAAATGACCCAAGGCAAGTCACTTAACCTTCACTTTCACCAGTCACCACAAGAGGGTACACATAGCCAATGTCACAAATGTTACCGATACCAATACTGGTCAAACCTTCAGGGTGGAGTATACAGTAAATTCATTTTGTAAAATATTGCTGCTATGACATTATTATAAAAGACCAACAGCAACAATACCTAAGTCTGTTCTAGATGTTTGTAAGATTTCTAATGTAAACTCAAATCCAAGTGAAAAATATGGTTTGAATAGTAAAGTGGTGGGATTAGAATCTTAGTCACTTATCAGTGGCCATGACCATCATTAGATAATTAGAACAATTATTAAAGTTCATTTGTCCATGGAAATAACACAAACATACTTACTTACAAACAATATTTAATATTGTGTTATGTTCAATTTTAAATGAAGACAGGCTGTTCTTTGCACCTCCCAATGAAAATAAAAGTTAACTTGTGGAAGTGGAAGATAATATACTTAACATACATACACACAGAAATGTTTGTCAAAGGTGAGGTACAGATAAAAAAAGTAAATATTTACACATGTACATTTAGGAAAATAATGCTTCAGTCACTATTTGTTATCCCCTTGTCCCGCAACCACTTTATATGTACATTATATTACAAATAGGTACTTTGCATACAATACATTTAAAGTTTACTCACATTTTTATGCATTTACAAACTGAGTCTGAGCACATACTGTATTGCTGAGGACACAACACAAATAATCACAAATACTGTTTTTCATTTCACATAGCCACTTTTATGCTTAGTTTAGTGTGGATTTCATGTTCTCCAAATTGAGACATGGCCATTTTGAAATAGAAAATAACAATAAAAAGATTTTAGCAGGTTTTAACCATAACATTGCTGAAGATCATTTTTTGCTTATCCTTTTCAACTGTGCAATGATTATTTATTCAATTTCAAATGATGATTATAATTAAGATGAATTATAACTCAGAATTCTGTAGGAGAAAGGTGTTACTATAAAGGTCTTCAACTGTTATATTATGGCTATTAACTGTAATTACTGAGAGCAGGCACATGCTTCATATTTCATCGGGGCTTAAGTATATTGTACTTTCAGGCACAAGATTGATATATTTTATAGAACAAATTCTTAAAGAAAAGCAATGATATTTGTTGGCCATTTGTTTGATTTTCATTTATTTTCTTCACCTTTGTAAGTACTATAAAGCAGTGAGTGGTGGAGTGAAGGTTTAGTTCTCTCCTTATCAAGCATCATTAATTTTAGAGCTACTTTTTGTTTGTCAAATTAGTCAGCAACTGTTGATTTAAATTATATTTTCACAATTTGAAGAATGCAAGATAATAAAATGAAACAACCAAATAAGCATAAAAGTGGCTAACTTATGCATATAGTTTGCCCATTTTAAAGTCCTGTTGTCCGGCAGTGACAGCAATCTGTGGCCCCCTGTTGTTCTTTCTGCAGCAGTGGAGGCATGGTCTGAGGTCAGATGTGGTTTTGTGGAAGCGTTGGTACCAGGCCTGTGCTGTGGTTGGCCCTACCGGTCTTCATGTGGAGGGAGAAGCTGTGGGTGAGCCTGGTGAAGAGCAGGGGGTGGGGGAGGATGGAGGAGGTGAGGCGCTGGGGGAGTTGAGGCTGTTCTTGTCTCCTCTAGGTGCCCTCCCCTTTCCTCCTGCACCGTGTCCCTTCTGTCCATCACCCTCAGAGTTCTCCAGCATTTCTTGGATGAGTGGAGGCATGGAGCCTGGGATCTCCATCTTCAGAGTGATCACACGCTCAGCTCCTGCAAGCACAGGCAAAACATTACCAAACTTTAGGAATTCACTTTGAGTCCAGTCCCAAGTCAAAGACAGGAAAATCTGAGTCAAGTTTTCGGTCAAAGATGCCCATGTCCATGTCCTCTGCTTTGAGCTTCAAGTCCTTTCATGTCATTCGATAATTTACCAAATAAAACTTTTGCAATTTATCTGATTCTTGTTAATGCTTAATCTAAAAAATAAGTCCTTGTCACAAATACAGAAATATTTACACTTCATTCCCATAAAATGAAATGCTGAAAGTTATCTAAGTAAATAAAAAACAACAGCATTCATATTTTTAGGAGAAACATCAAGTCGTCTCAAGTCAAGTCTGAGTCATGTCCTGAGCCCCTGAGTCCCAAATCATAGTCCCATTTTATCAGGTCAAGTCTCAACTCCACAAAATAGTGACTCAAATCTGAACTGAACATTAGTACTGTTAATTGTAATAATGTGGCCTAGTAATGATAAGATTTGATTACACAAAATATGAAAAGCGATTTAATTTCGTGTGGAGAATAAAGCCTTGTTTCCATAGGTCACTGGATGATCAGCAGCAGCACGCCAATAGTGACACACGCGAGGCAACATGTAAATAGTGCGAACCATGCCGGTGAAAATGAGGCTTTAGATTCTAGACATCTGTAAACAAACTGCTGCAGAAAGTCTGTGAGACAGTGAGTCTCACCTTTCACACTGATGCTCCTGAGGTCTGTAATCTTCATGAGAATCTTGGGGAACATACATGGTTTTTCAGGCCTCCTCCGCCTCACATAAATCTACAACAATGGATAAAGAGGAACACATTACACCTGTCATTGTATTTGACTATTTGACTATATATTACTATAACACTGGTGGCTTTCAGTCTTACATGCTTTCAGACTAGATACAAAAATACAACAAAAATATTAGGGAAAATATGTCCTGTCCAAAAATTACTGCTCTGGTGATGTTTGACTGTACCTTTGACACCATAAAATGAAATGTCTTAACAGCATTACATTAATAGCAATTCTGTATAAAATCTGTATGACGATATATCTGTTAAGGAAAGATTTGTGATGATATTAACAAGTCTTGGGTTTTAGAGTGATGAAAAATTTCCTTCAAAGTACAATATTACATCTTTGAATGATCTTAAGAATGAATGAATTATCAAAATGATGCCTTAAAACAGGAAACTGAAACTTAGCAATTGAAAATGATTTATGCTACCTTTAAGGCCTCTAGTAATGGCTCCTGAAGAATGTCCACCTTATCTGCCTCCTCCAAGTCCTGTCGATCTGAAACACACACGAAAACACACACAAATACAACACAAACATTAAAACAGGGATCTCCAAAAACTGGTCTCAAGTTCTTTATAAAGAGTGCAGTACCTCCACACAGTAGACAGATGGCACTGAGTAGACCCGTCTCTGCGTCGTCCATCTCTAGAGGCAGCAGCTGGCTGGCGAAGGAGAAGACCAGGTCTGTGAGTGGCCCAAAGCCCGCATTGTGCATCTGAGTGCGGTTTAACGTCAGACCGTCCGAGAAGGTCATGGTGTCCTGGTCTGGAGTGTAACGTGTGCAGATCCTCAGAATCTATCACAGGACAAAGATGTGGGGTTACCTTCAGGCAATGCAGACTTTTTACAAAGATTAAGTCACTTTAACATTTTTACTTTAATTTAACTTAAAATACTTGAAATACCAGATTACTTAAGGTGTATTACTAAAGGTAACCTTTTTGGTCTAGGGCCTGCCACCTTGTGGCAAAAGGTCTGTGCTTTGTCTACAGGTTAATACTGGCAGTATAGAAGCCATCGTTTGACATAATTGTGATTTCAGTTTTGACTCACATAATTATGGTTATTAATTTTGCCATAATTTAGCAGTCCTAATCCCCAGAGACGCTGGTGTCAGAAAAGCTACCTACTTTTACTTCTCTACTTCTACCTACTTCTGCCTGCTTCTCTTTACATAACGAGTATTTTAGCTGACTTATACTTGACAAATTTATGATGTAATATAACCATTACGTTTTTGGCTACTGACAAAACAGATGAAAACAAAAGAGAAAATCATTAAGCCTGCCAGGTAGAATATTAAACAGCAGAATTTTTAAAACTCATTTAGTCACGCTATAGTCAAACACACATTACAAATTTGTACCAGTGATATTATTGGTCTTTAAACATGTTCTTGAGCACATTTTCTTTGCTTTCATGCTTTGGAAGTTTGTACAGGTTCAACAGATGCTGCTCCCTATATTGGGAACTGGGATAAGGGCGCCATCTACTGGCCACCTTTTGTAACATGCAAACAGAAGCTGTTATAATGAATGCAATTTCATTGCAGAAACGAGTCTGGCAATGATTTATTGACTTAAAACAATGACGTAACAATCTTTAAATTAGAAATTGCATGTGATTTGAGTGCTCAGAAGGAGTGGATTCGTCAAACATGGTTAAGCTCATTTTGCATTATGTGTCCTTTAAGCACAGCTGGATGTGGCTTATGTTTTTGAACAAACTGACCAGTATGTCGAGGCACGCAGCTTTGAGCAGCGTGATCTGGTCGGCGATGGACAGTGTGGTGAAGCCTGGGAGCTGTTTGGCAAACTCCACTGTTTTTATGATGCATTTTGTGGACAGTTCGCTGAACTTGTCCCACAGGTTCACATCCAGAGCCACGCGATGTTCTGAACTGTTATTCTGAGAAGGGAGAAAATAGGAAGTAAGTAAAAATTATACAGATTTTAGACCAACAAATGTATATTTAGTAATTTATACATAGACTATACATAGATTTTACACAGGGTATTTCCATTTCCAATATGCTAAGAATGCCAATGAGAAAAAAATGTTGATATAGCATTCTCACTTTATGGTCAATATTGTGGTATAATGTTGAGTGTGTGTAGTACCGTTGTGTATTTTCCAAGCTGACACAATGATGGGAAGGTGTCCTGGTGTGCTCGCCGAACTCGCTCAATCATCTCCTCGGTGTCCGCAGACAGAACGTACATTTCAGGTTCAGCCTGCTTCTTGTCTTCCTTCTTCTTTTTTGTTCTGTCATTACGTACCACTGATGAACACAATGATGGTCACATAAAAGGTCATTTAAATTTTAAGGTGTAATGAATTTATAGAAGACTTGCTCTGTCTGCAATATTTTCAACGGCATATTTAATTCTTATTTCTCTTAACATAAAGAAAACACATTTTGAAAAGCTCAGGCCTTAGTTTGTAGTATTACACTGCAGTAGTAAATTGTTGAACACATGCCTCTGTTCTGAAATAACACCAACACAAAATATTACAACTTACAAAAAAATGTAATTAAATGAAAAAAACACACTCTTTTTGTTGCCTCAAGTTAAGAAAAAAAAAAAAATTCAGATAAACAGTGACTTGTATTGTCACAGACACAGCACCAGGGGGAGATACATATCAAGATTAACATGCAGTAGCGCTAATGCAAACTGGCAGCAGACCTTAGAAAGAGGCACTGAACCATGCTAGATATTTTTGTTGATTTCTGTTTGAAGTCGCTCAGCACAGTTTTTCCTGCATTTTCATTTGTTGTACCATGTTGTTTTTACAGGTTTTTGCTAGTGTCGTATTTTGCTAACATGAGGTCCGGCACAGCTATACTCACACTCTTTGGACATGCCAACATCGAGGCATTTCTGAAGACGACACGACTGACACCGGTTCCTCGTCACCTTATTAATGACACACACTTTGTCCCGGTGACATGTATACACCATGTTCTTCTGAATACTCCTTCGAAAAAAACCCTAAAGAGGAAAAGCAACAGTTAAAGAGCATGTCTAAGGCTCATTATAATTTGAAGATAAATGTCATAGTCATGTCACAAAACTACACAGAATACACAAAATATAATGTTATGTGGCCATGATTTTGAGTAATTTGGAAAATCAATCATTTTATATTCGGTTAATATGTATACAAAAATTGAACTTTAATACTGATGAATAAAAAAGCGTGCCAAAATGAAAAGCACAAATAAAAGCTAAACTAAATAACCTGTTGACCAAGTGCCCCTTTGCTATTAAGGATGAACGTGCTAAGTGCGTGCTAATCCCCTGTTTGATCAAAGAGTGAATGATTTAGTTTGCTGATGAGCTACTGTCACGGCATCATCATGAAAACACAACATCACAGTGGTAGACGCTGACTGCATGCGCCCATTCTTTGTGCATAGGATTAGATCAAGCAAAGAGGCTTACAGATCTGGCAGGAGGTGTAAAGGTCACGACCTCTGCACCGTCACATTATGCAAATGCAGGGCCGCTTCTTTCACACTCCATCAAAGTAAATACTGCTACAAGAGCGAGGAGATTTTATTTTTTACTCATGGATAATATTCGTACCTTGCATCCTTCGCATGCGCTGACGCCGTAGTGGTATCCAGAAGATTTGTCTTGACATACGAAACAGGGCTTGTAAACACGGGGTGGAGGGGGAGGTGAAGGGGGGCTGGGCACTAGGAGGTCTTCCCCTGAACTCGTGCTCTCAGTCTCTATGGCTGCAGAAACACAAAAACCGTGAAGAATGAGTGTGTGTAAAGGTCTTGTAAACAGAGTGGATTAGAAAGATTGTTTTAGTTCATTGTGTGAAATAATCTTATTGCGTAAATGTTGCAAATGTCAACAAAAGCATATAGCAACTCCCAATCCAAAAATATAAAATATTTTATATTTCTTGTCAATGATTGCATTGATAGGACACCTTTTTTTTTTTAAACAACATTTTAAAATCTTATATAGTATATTGTAGGCTGCAACATGGGCAATTTTTTTCTGAAAGGTTTCACAAATGCATTTGGAATGTATTTATTACAATTAAAATTCAGCTCACATTGTATTCTATTTTACAAATTCAAACAGCTTAAATAATTTATATTATTAAGTCTTATTTCAGACCAAATTGAATCAGAAATGGTTACGGAAACGTGCCCTCGATTCCAGTTGTTGTAGTTTCCGGAATTCCTTGACACATTGTTGTCCATGACTTGAGCGTAATAGTCCCACGAGGTATATTTGGCTTAACTGATACAAAAATAAAACAATTTTCTGAACATTTACTGGTTTAACAGACAACATTAAGATTTCAATAATTGCACCTGTCCAAAGTGTTTGCTGCTTGGTATGACCACCACTGATTATTTGTTCTAAAGTGGATTCATATGAAGGTTCCTCTCTCACAAATAAGTTACTAAATAAATCAATAATCTCCAAGCAAAAGGTGAATATGATAATGAATCAATGTACACAAATCATGATGGCATATAGGCCAAAAGTACATGAGATGTGCTATATAAATAAATGAAATAATTTATTGTATTATCAATAAGAGTACACCTGTCCATTGAATATACTGTATATAATTTTGATTATTAAAAATCTGGGTCCAAACATCTGGACGCCTGTTTGAAAACTTGTACAGCACAGACAGAAAGCGCTCATTAAAAGATGCCTTAAGATTGTACTGCATGAAACTGTTACAGCAGTTATCAATCCAACTGTCAATGTTGACAACGGCTATATGAAGCTGTCAGCTTTTCTGTTTGGAAAATTTCATGTTGTCTGTAATAATATACAAAATAGATAATAATAATAATAATGATAATGGCTGTATTAGCAAATTGAATAGACTGCAGTTATTTTAGTTCTTTGCAAATAACTTAATATCTGTCTGATTATGTAATAAAACTGTTTAGACCACTACAAATGCCCTCTGAAATGCATAGGATTCTTGTCTTACATAGAAGTTTATATATTACATTATGTTATATGACATTTAATAAAATGATTATGATTATATTATGTGCATCTTCAAGATGGTGCTCATGGTATTACAATCCCTGTGGTAAAACGTGCTTGCTTTTTTTTTTCTGAGATCAATGCTTTGTTTTGTTTTCTTAAAAGCAATATAGAATGGTCATCAATAGAAATGCTGATAACTACGAATTTATGCACTATTCATATTGATCTATGATCATTGGTGCACACTCTTTAATAAAATGTAAGGATATATATATATATAGAATAAGTGTATGTATATATTATACCGGGCTCCTGCTTTAATTGACCTTAGTCTTACAGATTTTATTTTACTGAATGTTTTACAGGCTCTTTTACAATATTCACTATCAGCCTTAAAGCTTCATTATAGTCTCTTATTTTGGGACAACTTCTCAAATAAGAGATCAAGGACTTTTCTGACCTTTGAACATTTTTTGAACACCACTTGATGCACATTTGCCTAGCTCTGGTCCCTTGACTGGTTCTTCTTGAAGCTCTCCCTCAGGTTGTTGTTTTTTTTTTTTTTATAGCCAAATGTGTTTCCATGCTCCAGGCATGACTACTGCGACTACTGACATCACTAAACATAACAAAGACAAATCTCAGCAATTCACTAAAAATATTCCAGTATTAAAAATAAAATATTTCAGTATTGGAGCGAGCCTTGCGCACATATATTTACAAGCCCTGAAATTCAGCAGTCAAAATTCAGAGTGTGAAATTCACAGAAAAAAAAATTCACAGCAAAAATCCAGGATGCCAGTGAATAAGCAATTGATCCTAAGTGAGTTGATCTAATGCTATAGGGAACCAATCTCATTGGTCTGAATGAATCAAAATCAAAATCTCTTGGATTCTTTAATTATAAGCCCAGCCTGCCAATTGGAAACAGGCAGCCTCTGTCCTCTTCAGTCATACATGATCAATTGCTTATGCCTTGGCACCATAGATCTTTGCTGCAATTTTTTTACACTGAATTTTAACTGCTGAATTTGAGGGCTTGAAAATATGTGTGTTGAAAATTTAAATTTAAATTTAGAATGAAAATAATTTATGTTTTTCCAGCGTTAATAAAATTAAAGTAATCAAAATCTGATTAAATAAATTATCTTGGTACAGTTGAAATGGCCTGGTACAGTTGAAGACCCGCTCCACAGTGAACCCATGGAAACAAGACTTTAAGTGCAACATTAACACAAAAACAGGCCCAGAATCATACACCGCTTTGTTCCGCCCTGTTTACACAACGCTGTTCAGTAAAATGCAATAGTCATGTTGAATTTCTCCCGAATTACTCATGATGTGGTGTGAGGAGAAACCATGATGGAAATGTTGTAATACACATTTGTAGCAATTGGCTCTGTGAGTCCTGCAAATCACAGCCACTGCACAGTGACCAGGCAGAGTTGTGATTTTTCTCCCAAACATAAAAATAAATAACTCTACATATACTGTATACTTCCTCAGCTGCAAGCTGCCTGTAGGGCTGCAAGATTAACTGCAATCGAATCAAAAAAGTTGAATGGACGTAATTAGCAAATCTGAAAGGCTGCAATTTCTGAATTACCATCATTTTCTCCACAGACAACAAAATGTCCTGACTTATTCTGCATATAAACTGTAGTTCTTATCATTTAGACATGCACAAACACATGCAGAAATGTAAATCTAATCACAATCACAATGCTTGTCAGAAAGATCACAATTAGATATATAAATATGGACACATACTGACTGCTGTCATTTATCCCTGAAACAACTCGACCAGTATTTATTAGTGCAGAATGGCTCACCGTCTCATAAACTACCTCCAGCATTTTTGACAAAATGTGATTCAGTTGGCATGTAGCTCATTGTTGAGTAAAAGACAGACTAATCAGATATCAAAACATTATAAACGTGTGATGTGATGTGATGTGTGGTTATGTAAACAGTCCCTTATCAGTTTGCAGTGAAAAGGCTGTAGGGGATAAAATCATAGTTCTTTATTATTAGGCTTTTCTTATATAGGCAATGGGGTTTATAGTACTTTCATATCATACAATTTGGGGAAATGTAATCTGCCTCACATATCAACCCCAAACTATCATCAGAACGTATCAGCAGCCCTGGTTTCTAAAATGGCTGTGTATGTCCAAGTACCTCACCATACCTCACAAAACGTACCCCGATACTGGCTCCATGATATCCCCCATATTACAATGCTTGAACCTTAATAAGATACGTGTCCTGATACATGGATATCCTATTATTTCGAAAAACTAAATGGAACGTCATGTGATGAATGCAATTGTCCTATGAATAAGTCACCTTTTCAGCCCAGCAGCTTTAGTACATTCAGCAGGTTAATAAATGTATAACTGCAATTTATGATGCATTTATGTAGTTTAAAAGTATCCTGATATGCACATTTGTATTGCTACATAGGTATTAATATTCTGAGTACAGCCCTAAGACCTAGATTCTAAAATAATATGTAGTATCAGTCATCATCGAGCAGTAATTCCACATACAATTCCAAAGTGCACTGTTATTCAGTTTAAAAGAGGCATTCTCTCTTCTATCTGCCCGGTGTTTTATTTTAGCTCCACGATCTGGCAGTGACAGCCTGTGACACATTTAAAGGTCCTAACCTTTAAGATTAAGTAAGAACAAGCATCCACTGGCCGCTCTTCCCTTCAGCCTCCTAACCTCTAACCTAACAGCCACAGGGCCCCTCCCCCGGCCAGTGAAGCCATACCAGACATTCCTCCAGTGTGAGCTGCGCGCCCCTCCATGGCTCTGGTCTGTTTACATAGAAGGGGAGGGGGGGTTGGACAGATAGAAGCCGAGGGATCCTCCTCTGCCATCAGACTTTGTTTCTCTGAGCAGTTTGTCTTCCTCCTCTGTGACTCACAGGCATAAAGCTCCTCACACATCCTCTCACACAGCTCCTCACAGCTCCACACACATCTCTGCACACACACAGCTCCTCACACAACTCCACACACATCTCCTCACACAGCTCCACACAGCTCCTCGCACAGCTCCTCACACAGCTCCTCACACAGGTCCTCACACAGCTCCACACAGCTCCTCGCACAGGTCCTCACACAGCTCCTAAACACAGCTCCTCGCACAGCTCCTCACACAGCTCCTCACACAGCTCCTCACAGCTCCTCACACAGCTCCTCACACAGGTCCTCACAGCTCCTAAACACAGCTCCACACAGCTCCTCACACAGCTCCACACAGCTCCTCACAGCTAAACACAGCTCCTAAACACAGCTCCACACAGCTCCTTACACAGGTCCTCACAGCTCCTAAATACAGCTCCACATAGCTCCTCACACAGTTCCTCACACAGCTCTTCACAGTTCCTCACACAGCTCTACACAGCTCCTCACACAGTTCCTCACACAGCTTCACACAAAGGTCCTCACAGCTCCTAACAGCTCCACACACAGCTCCTCACATAGCTCCACACACAGCTCCTCACATAGCTCCTCACACAGTTCCTCACACAGCTCCTCACAGGTCCTCACAGCACACTCCTTCTACTCTCATTTCTGCTGGGGTTCGGCTCTTACTGACTCCAAGACAAGCTATGAATGCACACTATTGATTAGATTGGACCTTATGCCAATAAAGACCAGTGTCAATACTTATAGTATGTGAATACTCATCTCATGTCAAAACTGTCAATAGTTTAACTAGGTGTATACCAATATCTTCTATAAGTAGATATATAGGTACAAGGTACACAGAGATGAAGTATAAGAACGGAGAGCACATTTGATGAACCCAGAGGAGGGAAGTGAAAGAGCAAACATCAAAAAGAATCATTTGTCCTCTTAACGGCTTTCTATTTTTGCCATACAAGCTAAAGTATGCAGCTGAGCTTGAATCAAAGAGTTTGACCTTTCTAGAGAAATCTCTTAAAGTGCAGGTTCTGCTGAAGAAATCCTGTATGAGATTTATTGCTAAATCTTTAGAAGTTTAATCTAGAAGCAGCTGTAGGGATATGCCCGGTGAGCAGGTTGGTAAGGGCAGTGTGTTAGATTAAAATAATGAAGTATCATCCATTGAAGAGGCTAATGAATAAAGCCTGTGGTCACTCCTAATCCAGGCTTTATAAGAAGGACATGCTCCATGTGCCAACCTAAGGAGGTGATATGTGTCTGTACAACACAGTGAGAAAACCATGGGAACGTGATGAGGATGAGAAAGTTCACTTTAAAGTGTGTCTAAACCCAAGACAAATGAACCAGAAAGAATCCATTACTTGATCAATGTTTGTGTTCTGACATGTTGAAAGAGAAATGCCATAACCACCTGGCTACAATGTTTACACACATATCAATGACATGCTTTATTTCCCTTTAACTTTAAAGGGCTTTAATGCTATGACATGATCAATAGACACTTCTTCTGCCTTTGCCCTAAAGCATTTGAACCAAAGTGATGAGGATTGGGTAAATAATAAAGAAAGACACAGAGGAAATAAAGGCAACAATATATTTCAACCACCAGCCAGTTCCTTTGGGTTGTTTATCACAACGTATATGTATGCTTTATAGGGTAAAACATTGACCTTTATTGTCTTTACATAAGTATTGCATAAGTCCTGCACCCAGACAGACAGTTATTCTCTGTAAACCAGTAACCAGCAGCACACTAACAAAAGCTACATTTTAAGTCAAGCAGGATGATGTTGAAAAATTATTTCCTATTTTTATGAGTTTCACATCTGAAAAAAAAAAAAAAAAAAAAAAACTTAATTCTCAACAAATACTTGTGGAAGGGGGGGCAGCAAATGGTTTGGGTGACTGCTCAAGGAAAATATCTTACCAAACCTAAAAAAAACAAAACAAAACAACTTTCAGCCAAAATAGAAATGAGTCTTTCATGGTAATCCAAATAATGGGTGAAAATCACAGGGTTTGTCACAGTACAATATGTTTCAATTCTTAGGATCCACAATATGTTTGACAACAAAACAAAAGTTGCTGCGATACAGTAAACCAACTTTAAACAATAATATCAAATTTCACAACTTCTGGAAATAAAGAGGAAAATATGTCACAGCAGAGTTTACGTTTCATATACTGTGTGCACTGACCTCGAAAGTCATCAGTGACAGTCAACAGTTTTCAAAACAGTCAAAGTCAATATAGCACAATATTTATCTTTCAAAGCAATGACAATATATTGCAGAGATTTATATGAATATACTCATGTGTATCAAAATGTTGTTATCCCCTCTTTGTCCTCACTAAGCTCACCTGAACCACCACAGCTCTCTAGCACACCACTTCAAGAGGCATGCACCCTTAACTAGGACTCTCAAGGAGACCATCACCTCCGGGTGGGACACACAGGCCTCTCCTGAGCTGAACAGGGTGAGCCTAAACTAACTGCAGGTGCTGCAGCCTTAGTCAGCTGTCATGTATTTGGGTCCGAAAGAGGCCTGAATTTTATAACAGCCTATACTTTGTGTTTGTTGTTTAAGCCTTTTTTTAATGCCAGTAAAACATTTACATACAGTATAATTCCTAATGCTAAATCACTTTAGCCATTACACTGTATGTTATAAGTGAAAAAGCTGATTAAACTCTAGCTCACACACTCCATGCTTTCTCCTTCCTGCTGTACTCAATATAAATCCTTGTAATCCTAATTAAATAATTAGTAGACTCCACTGACAATTTTAATGGACTAAAGGACTACAGCCCTGATTGTGTATTTCATATATGCTGAACAAAGAGCTGAGTACAAATAAAAATGCAACAAAATTGTGTGATATTTGTGCACTAAAGAGGGTCATATTACAGCCCTCTGTCTGCTACTCAAATCTCATTAACCTTTATAGAAACCTCATCTGTTGGATTGCCAAAATATCTTCTTATTATATAATAATACTCAAAAAAGTGGGAATATTAATCAGTGCTAATATCGCCCATCCTTTTTTTATGGCATCATAGCGAAAATGCATTTTTAAAAGATCCAGTAAAGATAATAATAGGGGCATTTCTATGTAGTATCACAGCACGGGACTCATTAAGGCACCAATAACTTAGAGCAGTGACAAGACATTCGTTATTGTTGTTGTTGTTGTTATAGGGAAGAAGTCTTCTGTACATACTTTAACTCAAATTTGACTTTTATCTCCTGTGATTTGACAAAATTACAAGAGCAATAGTGTTTCATTTGCTCCCATTCATACTTTGAATGATGCATGAAAGCAAAAAGAAATAACAATAATAAACACATAGAAAAAGAGACTCTAAATGGGGTAGAATTACAGACCAAACTATGTCTGTTTAGTCATGCCAATGTGAATGTTTTGACTTTGATCAATCTCTATAAATAAAGAGATCTTATTGAATTTAACAGCAGCACTTTCTCTCTCTCTTCCTCTTCACACACTCACACTCAGGTCAGACTTGCTCAGTACAGCCTCACATTCCCAGACAAACTGTGAGAGTGTCCAGCAGACACAAGAGAGAGGTCACTCAGTGCGGAGGGAAAACTGATGACTGGGCAGCTGCCACGGGAAAGAAAGAGCCAGATAGAAAGAACGAAGAAAGACTGCGCCGGAGATGTAGGTCACTTCCCAATTGTCAGTTGAGTCATTGCACTGGATCACACCCAAAACGCAGTCACTGTTTAGAGTCAAAGTATTGGGGCAATTGCTCAATGTGTGTGCGTGCCTGCGTCCGTGTAGGCCCTTTGACCTTTGAACCCGGTCGACTCTTTTCATTCTACCCGCACACACACCTCCCGATCTTTACGGCTGTAATTTACGATGTCAAACGCTCTGGCTTCCATACATCACCCAGCGGCCTTTCTGTTTCTCAGAGGCTTCAGCCTTGTTCCTTGTGACCGGCGCTAACTCGTCCAAAGTCCGAGTCACAGAGACAGCACCACAGCACTGATTCGAGGTTTACTGTCCTGTTAGGCGTGTAACTCAGAGCTGGAGCTGTGTTTATCTTATCAGCTTGTTTGGTGGACAGTCTTGTTCTAAGAAGGCAGGGGGGCACGGTTTACCAGACCTATTGGTTAAAGCACTTTTGGGATTAAGCCAATCATGGACCAACAGAGAAAGCCATGCAGGGTAGACCTCTCATTTAGAACAAAGTGACTTGGAGGTGATTAATTACACAGCTGAGAGCAAATTTTTAACTGACTTCTTAAGCAACATAAATGTTTTCAGGGGGTTGCAGGAAGGCAAATAAAGCCTATATATTGGTAGTATTTGTAGTAATACTTGAACAAATGAACAAATGTATGATGGTCACCTAAGCTATTAAATCACCAATGACAGATGAATCCAATTTGTTTATGCAATGGAAAGCAGAAAAGCATCAGCTAACGATGTAAGAAGTGCAGAAATGAGAGGTGAAAGACTGAAGCGTCACTTGCAAGGTCATTACAAAAATTAACGCTGACTACCACTAGATCCAGTATGTTTACATCCGGAAAAACTTGTTCAGAACAGTCCAGCTGTTCCACAATGCTTCATAATGTAATGAAAAACTGCCAATAACTATTAAACAAATAGGTCTTTTATTTAGCATTTAATACCTTTGCCCTCAATACTTGAAGGCTATTAACAACATATGACAAATTTAGCAGGGAAATTATGTTATTAAAAGTTCATTTAAGTCTTTAAGTCTTGCATTTTAGTGGTGAGTGAAGTCTGAGCAGAGTATGTCTTGATTGATATTAGGGCTTGCCTGGTATTGTCAATAACCTCACATTACTTACATACTTCTGAAAATGGTCTTAAAAGTAAATACACTAATTGGAATGGTATGTCCACAATGGCCTTAATATCTAAACAGAACTGATTCATGAATAACTCCAGTATTCAGCTCAGCAGATTAAGCCTTAATGCAGTTGCAGCAGGTAAACTGTTTCTATGCTACTTATAATGAATGAACATTGTTTAAAAGTACCACAATATGCCTCTCTGTATGGATGCACAAAACCTGTCAATATATTCAGCTGTGTGGATCGTACAGCCTTATTTATATATGATGAGTAACATATAAAAACTTTTGTGAATTGTGTCTATGTTTAATGCTTGTTCCTTGATGCTTTAATGAAGTAATTGGAAGGTTAAGTCGTAATGTTCTTACACGATTTGATGTGTTATTTATTTGTGTACATTTTGCAGCGATCAGCAGACATTTGTATAATGTGACTGAATAGTGATGCCATTATAAAATCCCGAATTCATTCAGCAATTGCTAATTACATAGTAAATGTTTTGCATACAAATACCAGGCCAATATCTGAAGATTAGATTTTAGTGTTTGTTTGTTGAGCATATTATTCAGGCTAATTATCTGTTCTTTTAATTTAGGTCTGTGCATGGGTTTCAAAATGCTGAAAAATTAGGGTTGTTGTCATAGCAATTAACAAGTTAAAGTAAAATATTATATCTTTTGAAAGGGGAAAAGGTCCTCAAAATGTTGCATATTAACAGGAAGAGGAAACTCATGAATAGGCTATGTTCACTGTGGGGTAAGAGGGATTTTCCGTGTCTGGGATTATAGGGCTAAATATCTTATGATTGTTTTTAACAGATAGGTTCATTTGTAAACCTCACGTTGTACACAGTTTACTGGTCACCAATGAGATGTTATGGGTCAGCCTTTAGAGTAGGAAAAACTTACAGTGACTGGATCCGCTCCAATGTCTCCCGGTGACCAGAGATCCCCCGAACGGCCGCTGAAGACCTCCAACCCCGGACAGCAAGCCCTTATCAGGACCGAGCCCCGGGGGTCTGTGGTAGTAGTCCATGCTCAAAAAGGAGCCGGGGCTTGGACTGCTCGGAGTTGGGCTTAAACCCACCACATCCACGCTTTCACTGTACATCCCCGAGGTGAGGAGAGGAGCCGAGAGAGAGGATGGGCGCGAGGGGAGCGTTTGATGTGCTGGTACCAAAAAAAAAAAGAGTGGGAAAAAGATCAAAGCGGTGCGCACGGCGAGGAGAGAGCGGAAGGAGAGGGGAGAGTTCACATCTTCATCACAAAACTCATGGAAGAGGAGGAGGAGGAGGGGCGGCCGAGCAAAGACTACTCCGCTCCCTTTGACCTTTTAGCCCTTTTGGAGAAACACCGGAGATCTACAGGGAAACTTCAGCACCGGCAAAATACGGTGAGGCGATTCCAGCCGAACACTCTGAGCGCAAATGCAATGGTACAAGTGCCGATAAGTTTGGACTAGCCTCGTAAAATGAATGAGAAAATAGAGTAATGACTGTAGGCTACTATTTACGGGCTGACCCTGGTCGCTATCGTTAGCATTTTACTAGCTTAGACTGGTCAAACAGCGCGGTAATCCCTTGGCTGGTTTCCGTAGATGGTCACTCATATCCTTTACACTAGCATCGGGGGCAAAGCAGCAAAGTAGGCTACAAGGGCTTGGTTAAAACAGAAAGGTCCACTTGGTTACAAAAACACGTACCGGTTCTCCTCTAGCTTGCATAGCTTCACAGAGTCCAAGCAAAAAAATGTACGAGCGAAGATGTTATTGAAACAAAAGCGCGATCATTCCCCGCGTCTAAAGTTGCCAAGTGAAGAGCAGCAGATTCATGGACGCTGCTGTATTCCGAGTTGACACTACGGTTTTCTGCGAGTAGCGCGCTGTCGCCGGCTGTGAGGTCCCGGTCTGGACGCGGACTCCGCTGGAGCCAGCAGTGTCCTGTGGTAACCTCCGCTCTGCACCCGGCGGCCTCCCTCTCTCTGTGTGTCTCTCTCTCTCTCTCTCTCTCTCTCTCTCTCTCTCTCTCTCTCTCTCTCTCTCACACACACACACACACACACACGCGCGCGCGCGCGCCACGAGAGCTATGCTGTGCATGAGCACCACCTACCTGCACCTGACCACACTACAGCTAAAACATTAAACGGTGCAGAGAGAGATTTTAGTCCTAACGCACGGAATTGGCGCAGTGAATTATTTACTATTGTTTGGTACTATTAGGCTACTGTAGACTACGTCATGTGGCCTACATAAAACTCTCCAGGTATAAAACCATTGTAGCCAAACTTGCGACCAACGATTTGTTTGAATGGCTACCACCACAATATTAGTTAGGCTAGAAGTTAGAGCCTGCTGATGGTGGACAAATGACACCCTATGTTTTAAACCTAACTTAACTACGACCCCTAAATATTGTGTCCTAAATGTAGACTAAATGTAGGTTTCAGAATAATGAGAAATTACGACACACACATTGCCATAGTGCCATAGTAATTAACAATTAAATTTTGGCCATATACACTACTCTGTTTTTGTAGTACCACAAACTGCAGTATGCTGAAGTTTGAGATTGTGCATTTAAAAATACATGTGTGTATGCATGAATATGTTTGCACTGGTGAATCTAAAAAGGCACATTGACATCTACTCATGCATTCATGCATAAATGCAGACATGTTGAGTATCCCCTTGCCACACAGGCAGAGCTGTTGCCAGAAGTAGCCCATGTCCTTGCATCAAGGCTCCTCCGTATTGATTAGCTGCTAGTTAAAATATGAGCCGAGGAAGGGGAAACACATCACTTTCATTGCTGCCTGTTAATGGATACAGGACATTAAATCTACGGACATGTGGCAGGCCGAGGGGAAGATTGGTGGGGGTAGATTCAAGCTTCAAGGAGCAGGTGAAAATTAGGATGAGGGTTTCTGTTACATGTCTAGAACAAAAAAGGGAACCAAAACTACATCAAATAAAGTCTGATTTTTGACTTTCATTTCACAGAGAGGAAGAGAGGAGTACAGTAGGCATACCCTTCAGCTGCCTAATGTGTCAGTGTGAATATGGTCTAGCCATACTAAGCATTAAGTTAGTGATTACACTATAAATAGGGTGCACTTAATAATGGTATTCACAATGCAGAAGATACATTTTTAATGAAAAAGCTTGCTTAATGAAAGCATTTATTAAATGCACTCTCTCCTCACTGCAAGAAGTTTTCAGGTTCAGCTCCCGGGCACTGGCAGCGCAGGCGTTTCTGTGCCGAGTCGGCATGTCTTTCAATGTCTAGATGAGTTTCGTCTGGGAAATCTGATTTCCCCCATCAACCATAAACATGTACAATAGGTACAATCCTCCAGCTAAGGTTGTCTTGGCCAGTATCTCTAAAATCTGTAACCACTGGGTGTGGCACTGCAGCATCCACTGCTCCTGACAGGTTGGGTCAAATGCAGAGGACAAATTTTCCGATACAATAAAGGTGAATGTTTAAACATTATTATTACAATTTATATATTATAATCCCTATTCAATTAATTCATTATTTAAATACTTCTATATTTGCAATCAACTAATTGTAATCTGGACTAGATTCCTAAAATACAAAATTATTTTTATGTACTCAATCAAGAGCTTTTTAAGTGCCAATTCTTTTGTTTCATCAGTGTGACAGGCAAGTCTAAATGATCTAAAAACTTATATTAATGGCCCTTTTGTGATCTAACTAATGACTAATGAAAACAAACATAAGCACATGTATTTCCAGTGACCAGGTATATCAACTATCTTTTAGACTGGCCAGTGTGGCAGATGCCGACTGGAAAGGCATCAGGCTTAAAAACTTGCCAATTTGCCACACTAGTGGTTTGTTTTAGTTAATAGAGAAGAAACTTAGACACTACTCACCGACTAAGTGAATGCCCAAGTATGAACTCAAGGCAAACAGTGACACATGAACAAAGAAGCACTGAAGATCAAGAGTTTTACGTCCAGCTCAATAAGCTGAGATCCATCTAAGAATGTGAGAAGGAGGTGGGAAATCTGACCAGGCGTGAAGTGAGAGAAAGACTCCTCAGTCACACACAGATGTAACAGCGCTGACTTTGTCAACTTTACTGTTCATTTTGTGCAGCCAGATCCATCAAAAGACCTGCTCATTCTCCTTGGCTAAACATCCAACATCAAGAAGATAAATCACTCAGCTTGCAAAATCTTTGATCGAGACCAGGTTCAGGTAAGAGTTAAATGTGTGTGAGGCACTTGTCAGTTTCAAATGATGACGGCATTACCGGGTGTGAATGGACTGGTGTGAAGTGAGGAAGAGGAGGATGTGAAGAGTGTGAAGGGCAAAAAACTGATAAAAAGTTGCATTTCTCTAAGACATAAGGTAAGGTAATGACTTTGGGGACAAAAAATAACCTTTTTTTTTTTAGCTTTTAGCCACATTATATTGTCCCCTCATCAAATACACACCTGGACTTTTATTTTGTCTCATTTATGCTTGTTTCATTAAACCATTATTCCAAACTTGTCTTCTCTGAGCACTCAGAAATGCTCATGCGTATTTTGCCTAGATTGTTCATCGTGGGTAAAAATCTGGATATCTTCTACTCAGTTTTTAACACCATAAACCATCACCAGACTCATTCTTCAGTCAAATTGTGTTCACAACCAGCACATGGCTCTAGCTATAGCATAGCTTTCACATTTCCAAAGAGCTTCATGCTGTAGTTTATAAAGTCTGTTTTCCAAATGCAGACATTGTTTTAGGTTAGAAAATGCAAAATACATATCCCAAGGTGACCAAATGCATGTTTAAAAGAGAACGGAAGCCACAAAATGAATATGTGTTCTTTAAGTCTATCGAATTAATCAGAGGAGAATGGATGGAAACATATAAAACCCATCACATATGACGTCAAAGCAGAATCAAAACTGTGTGTCAATCGGACATGGGTTGTGCTAACATTGGTCTGCTTTGTTTTTTAAAATGGCTAAATATAAGAGTTTACAGGGCGTACATGCACACAGAAGATGCACTGTATTTGTGTTGTTACAGCATATTGACGGTTACATTTGATCACAGAGAAATAGGATTAGAGGAAAGCATATTTTCACTGGAAAAGTGGGATGAGGATCAAGCAGAGGGCAGAGAAAGTTGAGGCAGAAGACGGTGAAAGAAGATCAAAGGTGGCCCCCGCTGGTAGAGATGCTGATAGTAAGTGTCTCTTTTCCATTATTCATCAGACAGCTGTGTATGTAGGTTAGAGACTGAGAGAGCTCCATGAGAAACAGAGGAACACCGCATATCTAAAACTGCACAGAGGAAGAGAAGAATGGAAATAACATGGAACCAAATTGGAAGTGATGGTAACATATGATCTACTGTCATTCAAGCTCAAAGAGTGGCAAAAGGACATATGAAGAGTATAAAAAGAAGAAGAACAGACAAAAAAAAACAAAAAACATTGAAATGAATGAATTGGATGTTATGTGCATAAATATAGTAAATAAATACATTGGAAATATGTACATCTTGTGAGATTTGTTGTTTGTCCTAAAAAAATTTAATCTGAGAGTTATTTCTGTAGCTATATGATTCCCAGTGTCAGAATCTGTAGAGTTAATATAACTATATTATTAAAATCAATACTGAAGAATCTGCCATTAGCTCTCTTTACATCCACATTCACTGTTTTCAAACCCCTAAACACTAGTGTAAAAGCATTTAAGTTGACTTGAGCTAGTTAAAAGGGTATTTTGAGTGTGTCCAAAATTAGTTTTCATCAAAATCGTTGCAGCTATTAGCCTGCAGAGAGAGCACCCAATAAATACACTTTAAGTTCACTGAACTGGTTGGTTTAAAATGGTTATTATTAATACTTGTCTGAAAGTGGCTATCTCTATCAAGCAACTAAAACATAAAGCATGAGAGATGGGCAGAGTGTAGAAAGATGTCTTTGCAGCTGACATCACACATAGTTAACTGCACAGAAATGATCACGCCATTCTGGGCTAACTCAGGGCATTCAACCTCATATCTAGATCTCCTATCACATGCGATGTGCTGCATGCCATGTGAGGCGGAGTGTGTGTGTTTAGGGTGGTTTGTTCCATTCGTGTTCGATCACTGTCTCCCTGGCTCTTTTAATAGTGGAACTTGATGTACTGGAGATAGGTACAGAATGTCACAGAGACATAGCAGAGCACTTTATATACGCATATTATTATGGCACTCTAATGGGAGACTGTCCATGCCAATAACAGAACAACAGGGCCCTTTCAAAATGAGTTTGTTACATTTTATAGAATGCATATAGTGCATTAAGTTATATTATATACAATTGATTTTTTAATTTGAAGGTTCAGTACTTCAAATGAGTTTGCTGTAGTAGACTGAAGTTATTTGTGCCTATGTATTTGATTTAAAATGTACTTCTTAACTCGTTATTGTAAATGTAGTCTCAAGAGTTCATTCTGCATATACCCATGGGTTCAGAAGATTACTTGTGACATGTCATTACTGCAGTGAAGTACTGTCTTATTTATTCTGGGTGATAGTTGTATGTTCTTATATATATGGGTCTCTTCGTATCTATAAATAGCTGGTCATTACAGACATGCTCTGCTTTGCCCTGCTGGTGGATATCCCTTTGTTGTCATTATTAGCGGGTCAATGGAAGGCAAATCCCACATGCAGAAAAAAGCACTGCATAACAAGAGGTCATGGTAGAGCCGTATATTAATCATTTAAGAAATAACAGAGCTGTTGTGTAACAAATACAGGCATATGCAGCTGTAATAAGCTCTAATAAATATGGGAATATTGCGTTTCACTTTAACTATACGAACAATAATGCTGTTTTTATGGAGAAGGAAAACATCCTCCTTCTTAGTGGCATTGGTGACCTAACCCACATCTTGTACATGAGAATGAGTTAGTAAATATTTGATTGGTGCATGTTGATTTGGCCTAGAACCTG